GGGGGGGGGGCCTATCAATCTTACAAAAAATACCGAGTATCTATCAGGTAAGACACTACGCTGTGTGCAAAGATGGAAAAGACATGATCCTTCGTGCTGGGGAGCTGGCGCTCCTCTTGGGAAGATAAAACATTCGTTAACTAAGATAAAGTCCGGCTCTTTCAGTCTCCAGCCGCCACCATGTCCGCACATCTGCAGTGGATGGACATGCGGAACTGCTCCAGTTTCCTGATCCGGAGGGACGCGCAGACGTACAGCACTGAGCCCCATCACCGCTACCACGGGCTGATACACTGCACGACCATGGGCGTGGAGCCCACTGCCACGTGCAGACGTGAAAAGAACGCCCGGGCCTCGCGCAACGGCATCGCGCGTGATCCACAAGAACAGGTACCACCTGGACCTGCACGTGGCCGCCATCTGCAGAGCCAGCGCCCTCCCACGCAGCCAGAAGCCCGTGATGGTGAAGAGGAAGCGGGCTCGCCCCACCAAGAGCTCCTGAGCACCCCGCAACCAGAGCGATAAAGAGAACTGCCCTCCAAAATAAGATAAAATACCTAAGTAATAATTACAGCCAGGCAGGACCTAACCAGATGAAACACTCCGGAGAGATTTGTCTCTTTTACTTTCAGGAATGAGCAAGCACTTTAGGTGGTGTGGTCAGGACAGGGTTCTCAGAGAAGTGGGGGGCAGGCAGGGGTCTTGAAAGATGAGTAGGACTTATTGACTAAATTAGAAAAAAAACACCATCTCAAAAACTAGAACTAAAAAAAAAGGGAAATAGAACAGCATGATTTACATGATTGAATGCAAACAATCTTGCAGTTGGAACCACGAGTTCACAGAAAAAACGGAGTATTTCTTATTGGGACATTTAATGAAAAAACCCCACCCCATTCCCATGTCTAACGTCTGTAAAATCACCTAAAGAAGGTGGTTTCTAAGACCTTTATTGGCGGGATTATCATAAAAGCACAAACACACTCTAACCATGATGAACTTTTGAACAAATCCAAATTGAAGGGCCTTTTAGAAACATCTCACCAGCAGCAGCAAACTTAACTGGTCAGAGCTTTACACAAGTGCCAAGGTCATGAAAGACCAGGGAAGACTGACAGATTCGCACAGGGCCCCAGAAGGACCGACTGTAAGACCCGAAGGAGAGACAACGAGCCACTTCTGGAATGCGGAATCCTGAAACGGAGAAGCACATTAATGGGACAAATGGAAAATCCAACCATGCTCTGGAGTTTAGCTAATAGCACTGATAGGAATTTCCTAGATGAGATATTAAGACGAGGAGAATCTGGATAGAAGGTACAGAAGAACTTGCTATTATTTTGAACTGTTTCTATAAATCCCAAATTAGTTTTCAAAAATAAGCTGCTACGAAGGTTTTGGAAGAAACACCGTGGGGATATGATCAAAATCTATAATGCATTGTTAAACATCCACTGGGAAAAGTTTCCATTACTCATTGCATCTAACAGGATATGCAGCTAGTCTGACAGATAGTTGGACACAAAAAAGGAATCCGCTCCATTGTAAAAAATAGCTTGGTAATCTATATTAATCTTTATACCTCTAAGAAATAGGCATCCAAGAACCAAATTGGTTCAAGCTACCATAACACTCTTTACGATGAGTCTTGAATTATTCCTGACAATTGTTTTTCAAAATGAAGCAGCAGAAGTAGCATCAGAAATCGGAGGATGAGCTGGTGTGTAGCTGTCTGTGAGACCAGAACAGTGGTCATGCAGATGCTGTTGGGTTAAAGCTTAACACTTTATCATGTGCTCTCCCTTCTGATCAATTTTAAATTTGTTCTAGTTTTTAATATTTTCTGCTTTGTTTTTGATAAAGGTTTTTAATCTCTTTCACTTTGTTATTGTTGTTAGTTTGTTTCTATGGTGAGGGCGGGTAGTTGGGGAGGTAGGGGTATGTTTTGCTGTCTATGAAATCCAGGATAGGTAAATCTATGGAGACAGTAACTGGATTAATAGTTTCTTGGGAGCATAACAAGAAGCTCTTGTGGTGTAGCGGGATTTGATCCACATGGTTGGAAGTTCAAATCCACCAGCATTTCCAAGGGAGAAAGACTGGTCTTTCCACTGCGGTAAAGTTGCAGTCTCAGAAACCCACAGGAGGTCACTAGGAGTCAGCATTAACTTGATGGGTGAAAACCTGGTTTTGGTTTTCGGGGATTATGGCGGGGGAAGTTAGGGGCAAATAAGGAGCTAATGACACTGAGTACAAGAATGAAGAAAATGTTCTCAAATCGACCGTGGTGAGGATGGTACACCTTTTCTTGTTGTGACCGAACTACTGAATTGTATGATATGTGAATTATATCCCCATAAAACTGTTTAAAATTAATAATTGTTAAACATTGGAAGAAAGGAAAAAGAACTACTGTTGGCTCTCAGCTATTGTGACTGAACGTCTCCATCAAACATTCTACAGAAGAATCTTGATCAAAAGGGGAGACCCTTGACAAGATGGACTGAAGACGGTGCCTGCACTGCTGGGCTCACACATGGCAGTGGGAAGGGTGTCCCAGACCCAGGCGTGGTTTTCCTTCTGCTGCCCAGACGGCCTCTAGGCGTTCACGCTACTTGAAGACAGCAAACAGCATGACGAGGAAGTGACGCAGGAAGAGGAGCGGATGACAGGCAGGGTGGCAGCTGAACATGTAGACAGGTGGCACAAGTGTGACGTCTGAGGGGGTACCCCTCAAACACTGGAATCACGCTGGACAAAGTGGAGGTTTGAGCACTCGTTTCCCTCTGCTAGGCGAGCATCAAGCAACTTGCGCTGAGTTAGTGCACCCAGTGGTATTGCCTGGGAAGGTTCTCTCTGATCACAGTGAATTTTTTCACAAAAGCAGTTTGGCTTGAACCTCATTTTTTTTTTTTTTTTTGATGGCCAATTTAAGAGAAGAGCGCTTGGCTGGGAAATTTTGTTTCCTGCTCGAGAAAAATGCCGCAGAAACTGTTGTGATGTCAAACACAGCTTACAAGGACAGCACTGTGGGAAAAACTCAAGTGTACGAGTGGTTTTCTCATTTCAAAAAAGGATGAAATGTCGATTGATGACAAACCTCATCCTAGACGTCTGTCAACTTCCCAAATGGATGAAAATGTTGACTTGTGTTTCATTTGGAGTTTGTTCCACCAGGTCAGACAGACTGTTAATCAAGATTTCTATTTAGAGATTCTGAAAAGATAGTGTAACAGTGTGCAGAAAAAAAAGGCCTGATTTATAGCAGATGGGGACTGGTTTTGCCACCATGACAATGCACCTGCTCATGCAGCCATCTCAGTGCACCAGTTTTTGGCAAAAAAAACAACATGCCTCTCTTACCCCACACACCTCACTCACCTGACCTCGCTCCATGTGACTTCTTTTTGTTTTGGAGAATGAAAAAGGACATAAAAGGACAGTGATTTGACAACATAGAAGAAGTGAAGATAAAAGAGGTGCTGACAGCCATCCAAACAGATGAGTAAGAAAAATGTTTGGAATGGAATTCCAAGAACGGAATCGCAGATTTGACAACTGTATTAAGTGTCATGGAGAGTACTTTGAAGGTGATAAGGTTTGCTTTGTAAAAAAGTTTAACTACATAGCTCTGGGAAAAAAAAGTCCAGGTTTTTTTGGGGGGGGTATCCCTCGTAAGCAAACAACAAGAGGAACAGGAAAGAAAAGAAGGCAAAGAATACTCTGAATTAAAATATCACAGAGTTCAAGTGTCAGTGCAGTCCAAAGCTCAGCCCACTATTACTAAGGTTATCCTTCCGCACCTTTGGATTGTCGATGATTGGGGTGACGACCAGATCGGAATCTGTGTAGATAAGCCCTCTCATCTGGGATTCCAGGTCATGCTGACTCAGGGGTCTATTTGTAATCTGAAAAAGAAGAGCAAAAATGAAGACTTCCTTTTTGTGACTAACTAGAAGCTTTAAAAGACTGAGCTAACAAAACACCCTAAGACACAAGAGAAGCCCTGGGGGGCACTGTGCAGTACACTGGGTCAGCAGTTCAAAACCACTAGCTGTGCCGTGGGAACACTGAGACCTTCTCCTCGCATAAAGACTTACAGCCTGGGAAACCCTCAGGGGCAGTTGTACACTGTCCTACAGGTTTGCTGGGAGTCAGAATACACTCAACGGGAGAGGGTTCAGTGTTTTGGAAGTAAGATGCCACTGTATAAGATCACCTATTATCAATGCAGTTCAGTTGTTATTGAAAACAATTCCACCAACAGTTTCTCTCACTTGATCTCTGAAATACCTTCACTCATATAGATCATTGTTTGCATCTTATAGATTAGGGGGGACGGGGGTTGGGGGAAGAGCAAGAAAAAGTAGCTGGTTTGTGCAAGTTTGCAACGAAGGCTGATTTAGAATAGAAAATAGATCTCTTAGCATTTTATCACCTCAACAATGACAAAGCAAATGGGTCTTTCAACTACCGGCATGCCTTTTATCTTTCACCCACAGAACACTAACCAATTTATTTCTATTTTACAGAATAGCCAAGATGAAGTAAAAATGATAGCCTACAATTTTTTCCATCTGAGCCATTGAACTTCGGTTCCCACCTCCTGCTTTTGAAGTTGCCCAATAGGCAACTTAAGACTACCATATATCTGACACTTTATGAACTTACCTTTTAAAGACATGTCTTCGTTCTACAAACACAGTTTTGCTGTAGTGAATGAGTGTAATTGAACTTTGGGCCCAGTGTCTAAACTCTGTTTTCTTAAACAGGATTCAGTAACTTAAGTTTTTAATATTGGTAAGTTAACATCCCATGTATATGAGTCTAAAAAGCTTTCCAATACAGTGAACCCTCGTTTATCGCAGTTAATCGGTTCTAGACCCTACCGTGATAAATGAAATTCCGCGAAGTAGGATTCCTTATTTGTAAATCAAATATTTTCGT